TCTTCATTCACGAGTGGAATATTTGTCAGGCCTGACTGAGCAAGATGAATTTTCATCTCTGTGTCATCATAAGGCCACAGATGGGAGGGACAGGGCACAGATGAGGAGGATTATATAATTCAGAGATATTATGTTTCATTCTGCCGTTATCTGGAAATATCCTTATCATCCTGCAGAAGAGCTATCACTCGCATGAGATGAGAATTTTTCACCAAACTAAAGATGGTAGGTTTTAGTTTATGGGTTTATATGAAAATTTCTGAATTAAATTTAGGGCAGAAGCGTGTTGTAATAATTTGGGAAACTGTCCATCAGCTTGAGGCAGGCATCTGCTCACAGACTCAACAAGCCTCCACTCAGCTGAAGTGTCCTTGAGCAAGACAATGAATCCCAACGAGCTCCTGGGGTGTGTTCTGTCACTGATACTTGATCTCTGACCTTCCTGGAGGGTGGGGCAAATACTTTTTTCGGAAAACACTAAACGCTCCATGAGTGATGAATACAGCCAGAGGAAATGGCACATTTCAAGGCTGATGTTCTGTCATATAGAACTTGTCAATGAGATGAACACTTGAAAAAATGTTTCGATCATTCATTTGTCTGGGATGGTGTCTGGCTATAGGTGTTTTTCCACCCAAGCTAACACTCAGACATCGTTAGGTGTAAGGACTGACTAATATGTGCAGGGCAAAGCTTGATTACATGCCAGCATCTACAACAACTCAAAGTTTTATGAAGAGATCAAGGCTCTTGAGACATGGACTCATATTTCCTGTTCGGTATTACTGAGGACACATTTGATATGAGCTACACAGTTGATTGGTAAGTCACTGTAAATAGAGCAGCTCTACGAAGTGGCTCTTGGTTACATTGCAGATTAAAGTCTCAAACCTCTAGTTTGAAGGCCAATAACCGGCACAGTTAGCCGATTACACCTAAGTGCTATTAGCACCATAACTTACCCACACTGATGATTATATTTCATTGATCAACTTCAACAAAAATAAACTGCATTAAAGCTGTGGAAATATGCTAATATACAAATCAACCAATCCCTGTAGTATTATATCAATATAACGTGAGAGAAATAAGATCCTGCTGCACTGGATTAATAAAAACAGACCAACGTAATTACAGTACAGTAATTGAAAAAAGTTATTAGGTTCCCAATATTTCAAAGTAATCTAGTTATGATAAAATAACATAACACTATGTCAAAGTCATCATAAGCTCACCCTATCATTATACAGGGCTTAAAATATTATAATGTTACAATACTTGCCTCTAACGCACAAACTGAGCCAACCGTCTACAAATTCTATTTGTTTAATGTGGCCTCTTTATTTAGTCTGTAAATTTCAAACTTTTCATTCTGGAGGGATCCAAAATAATTGAAAATTGGCTATTAAGGTCACAGGCTACTGATGGTGAGTAAAATTACATTTGTTATGCAGACCTGCTGTATCATGGAACCCCCTGCTGCCCTCATAACACAGAAATATAATAATCCATAATGAATTTCATACTTAATTATTACAAAGGAGGAAATGGAAGTGGTTAAATAAACTGCTTAACAAATGAACTAATCTAAGTGAGACAATTAGAAGGTGTCACAGTGCTGACTCCGAGATATATGCTTTCGGAAATATGATTTGTTTTGTGCAGAAGCTGATGGGCCTTAAATAATGAATTGAGACTTTACTGATGTGAAATAAGCTTTGGTAAAGGATTGTGGCATTAGTAGTCTCGCTCGCCAGACCCTTCTCAAGAAAAGAAAGGTCTGGCTGGGCCGACTCTCACTTTAAGATTGGAGAAAAAAACGCCCGGCTGCTTGTATTTCTTTCAACCAATCACAATTATTCTAGGCGGTGCCACAGCAACGGTGCGCTTGCAAAAATATTGCCGAGGGGAAACAGGTTTTGGTGTAACACACCCACAAAAATATTGCCTACAGGATGCGAACCATGGCAGAAAAATGGCTACATCCCCGCAAGATCAAACACCGCAGAAGTTAGTAAAGGACGTGTTGAAAACAGTTGAAAATTGCTACACAACCGGAGGTGGTAGGGCGGGACTTCAGCGGGTGGCTCATTCTGCCTTATGAGAGGCTGATCTATGCAGCGAACTTCCGCCCACTCAGACTATGGCATTAGTGACTTAAAAGGCGGATACATATAAAACACAAACGGCTCATTATTTTTTAAGTAGCTTTTTTTCTTTTCTTTAAAATGAGTACTTCACCATCTTGGCTTTGCACTGTTGGACTCATGTTGGACAGTTTAAAGTGCAAAGCATCAAAACAGATGTATCAGAACCAGCGTTATTGTCTTTTTTATTCCACACATTCCTCCTCCTTGCCAAAACCTGCTGCCTACATTACCCACAATTCATCTCAAATACAAACAGGTCGATAGGAGTTTCAGGTGTGGTATTAGGAGCAGGTGATTTAACCTCAATGGCTAGCCTCAAGCAGATGAAGAGCAGGCTACAGAGGTCTGGTTGCTAGCTTATTTCTAACTCCGCACCCCCAGATTTTTTCTTTCAACTTCAGCCCCTGCAGATGCTGAAATGATGTCACTTGAGACAGTTTATCTGAATTCGATGAGCTCCCTCTGGAGCCACAAAAGGCTTCATACTATTTTTTTCCACATATTTTGTTGTACTCTATTAGACCTGCAAACAGTCTTTGATATGTAAAGTCTTTGGATTCCCCTTTAAAACACCAGCTTTTTCAACACAGTCACTTTATTTTAACAACAACGTACGCGGCAGATAATGTTGAACTTCTGCCATCAAACAAAAAAACTGTGTTGTGGACTAGTAGTGATCGAATTTTCCATTGTGAGCTGTGTTTAGGTTTTATTTTCCCACTAATTACATGGACAGTCTTTGGTTAAACAAACACCCATTAGTTCAAGTGTGAGATACGAGAACTGGAACTTCTCAAATTTTTCTGGAATAAAATGAAAGCATCTTGCCAGGCTACTAATGAATGCTGTATGTTTGTGCATTCTCAATTACTTCAGCTGTTTTGGTGTGGCCCTAATTAGATGAATATAGATTTAAAAAAGACTGCGAATGCTTGTGTTTCTCTGCATACTGTATATGTGTGTGTATTAATGCTTGTCTGGATCTGTGTTTGTCCCAGTCGTTAATGTGCGCACATCATATGTTTGTGTGTGTGTTTGCGCTATCCTATTTTGGCTAAATTATGGGTTTCTCATTAGCAACAGTATAAATATTTGTGTGTGCAGTACATATCTTGCTGTGAAAGCAGCTTGCTGCCTTTGAACAATAAAAAATCATCTGCTTATCAGCAAAACAGAGCATGGCTCTAAATCCTGGAAAAAACAGACAGACAAGCACAGATGTTAAAAATGGGGAGTGTGTATGTGTATGGGTGTGTGAGATAGAGAGAACGTGTAGTCCCTCATTCTTAACATGTTTACATTTAGGATTGTAATGAGTGAGGCTTTTGAAATGTGGATCATTTAATTGTGTTAACACACAACCCACTCAAAACTACAGCTGGAATTTCAAAGCTGCTCTGCTTTCCCAACATTTATCTTTCCGGCTTAATACATGCGTGTCAATATGTCTCTTTTATTAAGTCTCTCATTTAAACAAACAGTCAAAACTATCCTTGTACCAAACAGTCTCTCAGTTCTGTTCACCTACACCACACACACTTGCACGCAAGCTGCCATGCAGACAGGTTGCGTCTTTTTTACTTCTTTCTGTCTATTTGACATCTCTTTGCAGCCCCACCCATGTGACCCAGTAAAACAGGGCGTATTTCTGAAAGTAGAGATTGATATGTGTGTGTTCAGACCTTTTGTCCTTCAGCGCTTCCTGCAGGGCCCGACCTAGATCCCCAGAGCGTCAGCAGTTTGACAGATACACTGTGCACACATACACACACGGAGACACACAACATGACGCAGACCATATCGCAATAAAATCGACTGATGCTCATTCTCTCTGCGTCTTTCTTTCTTTAAACAAGACTCTGAATCACTTTAATGGTTGCATTAAATGTAGAGAATTTTTCTTGATGTCACTTGTATTGGCCACTACTATAGGAACCCCATATGTACTGACAGATTTAGTGTAGCGCAGGGACGAAACGAGCACACATGCAATGCAGTGGGATATTAAATGTCAGGCGAAAGGAAGCCAGTAGATTTTACATTTATTGCTAAAGAATTCTTTCAGCATGTACTCACTATACACCAGACCTGCAATGATTAATCGATTAGTTGTTAACTTTTAAATTAATCTCAAACTAACTTGATATTCATTAAATCAGTTTGAGTAATTAAAAAAAATAAGTTCTCTGATTTTGGCTTCATAAATGTGATTTTTTTTCTGGTTTCTTTACTCCTCTATGACAGTAAACTGAATGTCTTTGGCTTGTTGACAAAACAAAATATTAAAGAGCATCATCTTGGGCTTTTGGACACACTGATCAACATTGTTCCTCATTTTCTAACATTTTATAGACTGAAAACAATTAAGCAACTAATCAAGAAAATAATCAACAGATTATTTTGCCATGAAAACTGGTTGCAGTCCTACTATGCACATGGTATAGAATGTGTACATCTACAGGGAACTAATGGTGAGCACCCATCAGTGCAGTGGAAGACATTAGAGTCATTACATAACACAGACATGATTTCATTAAAAAGAGCCATAGTACAGAAAAAACTTGGGCAGACATTAGAAGACATTTTAGCTCATAAACAAGATAGCAAGAGTTACTGTTATGACACCAATTCTGTTGATGTTCTGCACTAAAACACATTTAATGGGGGAACTAGCAGCTTTCATTAAATACGTGACCTGACTTGAATTTGACACATTTATGGAATTTATGCAGCATTAAAGAAAAAGTGATATTCAGAACAACATTAACTGATATTCTTCATCTTTTAATCCCGTTTTTCTCTCACCTTGCTCCTCCTCACCATCTCCTGTGTGTGTGTGTGTATGTACAGGCTATGGCTTTGTGGACTTTGACAGCCCTGCAGCAGCTCAGAAGGCTGTGGCCTCGCTCAAAGCCAGTGGAGTCCAGGCACAGATGGCGAAGGTAAGCCCCCCTCCGTCCTTCACTCTTTGGTCTGCTTTACATGTTACTGAGGTGTTTGGCTTTTCTTATGGTGCTGTTCTTCAGGTTAACTCAGTCACTGTCTGTGAACCCTGCAGAAAGCTGATGGTGATGGTGGTGATCTTTTTTGTGGTCATAATAATAATATGGACTACAGTAGTGTGCTAGCTGCTAGCTTGGTTAGCAAAGTGCATTTACAGCTATGGTTAACTGTACCAGTGCTAATGCAAATTTTTGAAACAGACTTAAAACTATCTAAACAAAATGTACTAATTGAAAAAACTGAACAACCAACTCCTTAGCAGGTCTCTTAAAAGATTTGTTTGGCAACTGTAATGTTACAATTAACTTTAATGCCCTGAATAGCCCTGAAATAGCAACAGCTACGGCTGCACCTGTGCTCTGTGAATTTGGGATTAGGCCAAACCAACATTGTCGCCTTGGTAGCAACTTGTTAACAGATGGCACCCACCTGTCACTCAAACCAACAACGCTCTTAATTATGCATATCTTTAATGGATGAGTTATTAAGATTCACCTCCCCTTACAGTTGTCATGAATGTTGAAATTAGCTATAGAGACCAAGACTGTTTTTTTGTACCAGCCTGTAAACTGGGCTTTACTCAGCTGTAAATTTGGGCATTTCAACATTGGGGTTTATGGGGATTTGCTCGCTCTTGGAACTAGCCTCAAGTGGCCATTCAAAGAACTACAGTTCTTTGGCACTCCTGCATTGGCTTCATTTTTCAGCCCCCCAGGTTGCCGCTTGGTTTTCTTTCATCCTTTATTCTTTCATTCCTCGTGTATTTGCTCTCTTTTTTCCTCTCAAATGCTAATAATCATTTCTGTTTGTAGTTTTAGGTGTGTGTGTGTGTGTGTTTGTGTGTGTGTAGCTGGCAGTTGTATGCGACCATGCTGTGCCAAAACATGTGGGCCTAACCAGCACAATCACATTATCCTTCAATGTGTGTGAGAGAAAGACACTGAATAGCCTGCCTTGCTTTCAGATTCATTAAAGCTGTATAGCTGCATACTTCCTTTTATAAATGAGAGAGGAGTGCAATTAAAATGGGCCAGTCTTCAGGCACCAGGAGCATCCCATTGAATTAAACAGCAGCAAGCCTGTGAGCCACCTTTGGCTTGCTCTTCTATTAAACCTCTTTTCATTAGACTTCCATCTCTTATTTTGTTCCTAACGGCTTGAGGGGGCATTTGGAAGAGCAGTGTTGATGTGTTTAGCTGTTATTAAAGAGAGAAGAACCCTCGACTCCTTGGAGATTGAGTTTTCCGGAGGGATGGAATGGAGGGCAAGGAGTCAATTCCAAATGAAATTACACAGACTTCTTACTGTTTCATGAACTAATTATGCTGCAGAGCTGCTGATGTCCCAGCTAACTTTCCTGAATCAGGGTGCAGCGAGAAAATCTCGGAAACACTGCTGTTGGATTTCCAGCTCGAGCCTCTAACATTTTGTAAGATGAGCAGCTTAATTGGGGTTTGACAGAGTCTTGGTTTTAACGCATTCAGTACCAATTAGACTGACTGAAGTGAAAACTCATGCCTTGCTATTTCCCACACCCTTCTCGGAGTATGCAGAGGTTTTGTGGGTTAGCTGGGACAGAAACTTTGTTCTTAGTTTTAATCTGCAAGATAGTTAAAAGCTTTTCCACCGAACAAAGCAGTGAGGTGGCAGTAGATGGAGAGAGAGAAAAAGATGATTGGCTTTTGTGCAAAAGAAAGATGAGCCATCTAAGAAAGGTGAATATTGATTGTTTTTTGGGCAAGGGGGGTTTGGAGAAAGGTTTGGAGATAGAGCTGTACTGATCTGACAATGAACATCACCACTGAGCCTGTGGTGGATTAAAATGGGCCAAACATAGAGTATATGTAGTATAAGTGTAGTATATGTCTTTAAAGATACATTCATCCAAGCATGCCATGTGCTCAATTTAAGAAGTCTAAGATGTATTTAGTATATTTTATTAAGTTAAACCAGACCTGATGACAATAATAGAATGAGTCAAAATAGTTTATGCTGTAAAACTGCTGGGACAAATATTGATGGTGTGGTGAGAATGCCTAAATCTTTATCAGCCCCAACAACATTGCAACTGCTGGTATTGTTTTCACTTTGTGAGTCTGTATGTGTGTGTTTGTGTGTGTCATTATGGCAATATGTGGTCCTGGCGGCACCTATTGCAGCAGGAACTACCACAGAGGCAGTTTTAAGTATTTTTGCCGGGTGTTTGTCTGTCTGTCAACAGATTTTGTCAATGCGATATAGTGTGCCAGTAAACCCGGAACTCCGTTAGCGCTTTTAGCACTTCTGGTTCTCTCGTCTAAAAGTCAATAAGTTTTTTGAATGGGATTTTGGTAAAATGCCTCAAATAAGGTCTGTGGTTAACAAAAGCTTAAGCGAGTTTCAGCTTTGGTTCTACGACATAAAACACATCAGAAAATACCCTACTTGTGAATTTTGAAGCTTTTTCGTGTCGTAAAAAAGGCGGTTGCTAACAAGTTGCTCAATACAACTACAAACCCTGTCGGGGATATTAAACGTCATCACCCCCGAACAAGCGAGAGTGCTGGCAGTCCGCCATTACAGCTTCTATTCGTGTTTTCACCTTCCAACGTGTAGATATATCAATTTAGTATTAGTAGTTTAGAAATCAGGCCGAAATCAGTTGAAAGCTTAGTGGTGGTGACGTCAAGAGTCATGCGACCGTGGAGTAGTCATGTAGTCCGTTGAAGTCTAACATTAGCTTTTTACTTCTTGCGATCACATTTAAGCTTCAAATGCGGTATGAAAGGTGTTCATATGTGAAGATTATCTCGCTGAACAAAACCTGTAAGTATCATAAACTTGTGTTAGCCACAAAGCTGACACAATCCAAAACGCAATGCAAAAATCACATTCACTTTCTCTTCCAGGAACCAGCGTGATGCTAAACTTCCGGGTTTTGACGTCAGCCCTGGCACACTCTATTGTGGCACTAGTGGAAGGTGTAGTCGCAAATCTTTACAGATGTGTAGTTAGGATCAAAATCAAGGCTGGGTTTGAAGATGGGTGTGGTCCGGCAGAAGTAGCCGGAAGCAGGAGGGTAGGAAGTAAGAGTGTTTTCCCATATAGTCCTTTTTAAACAAACCAAACTCAGTCCTCTTAAAGTTCACCAAAAAGTGGACCAACAGAAAAGGGACTCAGTTCTTTTTGTGCTCACATTGTCAGTGCATTTGGAAAAGGACTCAGTTCTCTTTCTGGTCAACTTCAGCTCTGATGGGGCTTCAGTCTTCTTTCTGTTCAAACTATAGCCTTTATATAATATATGTTGACGCAGTTCATTCTTCTTACTTTGACGTGGCACTGCAGTGTGGATTTGAAGCCCCTCGCTTTCAGGTGAATTTAAAATTAGAGGAAGACCTTAGCGTTTCTGTGTGCTGTAGACTGTTGCCATTTGATGTATTCTACATTCCACACCTGGAGACGTGTAGTATCTTCCATGGACCAAACTACTCTTCATCCTGTGTCCTTGCAAGCGTTACAGGTCGATGTGGTTTTGTCTGTTTTTTCAAGCGTCCCAGTGCAATAGCATGTGATCTAGAGGGTTAAATACAGTGGCAAAGAGCAAAGTGAACCTGGACCACTTTGTGTTTACAATGCACGGGTTACTTGAAGTGAACTGTACTCAGACCACCTTGTTCACTTCAGAGGGGTCTGAGTTCTCTTGGAGTGTTCACATAAGCACAAAAAATGCTGAATCACTGCTCTGAGTCCGTTTAGAGGGTTGAAAAGGACCAAGTGTGAAAACACTCTTAAGTGGGGGGCCATTGGCCCTCAACTTTACGCCCCTGGCCCACATTTGTTTCTAGGTCGCTGGTCACTGTATTGCACCTGGGGTGATCTCATTGCAAGATGGTGTCAAGTTTAGTTATGGATTGAAATTAGATGTAATATCATGAAACTCTAATGAAAGCTGCCTTTTTGGTTTCTATTCTTAGAAAGTAGAAAAGTACAGGGTTGCACCTCGGATGGACTGTGGTTGTGGTTTTTACAGGAGTCCTTAATCTTATTGACAAAACAGTGAATACATTTGTGCAGTCAAGGATAGCAGGGAGATCAGCAGCAGCAGAGTTGTTATCAGTGGTTTCAAGTAAACCTCTATGGATGTTTTTACCGGTGAAAATAATCTGTGAAAAATAATTAGTTCTCACATCCTTAATCTGAACATTACAACTGAATCAGAGCTCTATCAGGTGGAAATGGTGGACATGGAGTTCAGTAGATTTCCATAATCGCTCCACTTTTCTACAGTCACACTTAAAAAGTGAATATCATCATTTATCCACATAGCTGAGTTAACACCTTAGGTTTTTCTCACTCTCTCTCAAAGGGGGCTACAGTATCGCAAGATGAGAGACACATCTTATTAGAAGATCCTGGTGTGAGTATTGAGACTTAAGAGATGGGTTAGATTAGAGTGAAAAATAGCTGTGAAAAACAGTTCTGTGGAGTATGTGTTAAAGGTGTGAGAGCTGAAAGCATGTTTACACAGTCATTAATTAAGTTACATAAATTAATGATTTGAAATAAACTAATCCTCTGTACAGATATTGACAATATTTAATCAACACTCATATCAAGCGCATCACTGAAGAATCAGAGGCTGGAATAAAATTACAGCATTATCATTTGGGCTTTGAAGGAGGAGAAAATTCCACTAATCATTGAGCAACAGTGAAACTGGGACCCAAAGGTTGTCACTGGGTCACTGCTTCACCCAGACATCCTTGATCCTCAGAGTGCAGATTAAACTGCGTCCTGACACTCTTCAGTGATTGGAGCCAACTACTTTGTCCACTGCCAAAATTCAGTTAAAATGATAAAAGCCTAAATTCTTTGACTAGAAGAGCTCATTAAGCACTGAGAACTTATTTTAAGAGAACACTGATGGAAGGCACCAGCCTTCTGTCATGCTTGCGTCACG